AGAAAGAGAGAAAGAAAGAAAGAAAAGAAAAGAAGAATCCCCAAGACTCGCGGGCTACGCCCCGAGCGGGCAGGTGGGGCGGGACCCCCGCAGGCCCCGGCCCGGGAGAATTTCGCGCTTCCGGGGGGCGGGCGGTGGCCTCTGGGGCTGGGCCGCCCCGCGCGCCCGCCTCCCTCCTCTGGGGTTTTATGACCTAAGCAACTTTCCTTCCCTCCCACCCCCGCGCCCCGTCTTGGTACGGCCTGTCCGGCGTTCGGCGTTCCAACCCCCCGTTTCTTCCAGGTTGGTTCAGCCTCGGTCTACTCCGGGGTGGTGCTTAGCCGGCGCCAGACCGACCCTCGGCTTCGGAGAGGTAGTGCCGTTCCTCTGGGCGCCTCTCCCTCGGCTTCTTCGGCTTCCGCAGCCTACTCAGCCTCCGTGCCGTCCGGGCACCCGAGACCTCGGTGTATGCCCCACCCCTGACCCAACGAGAGACATGTCCACCCCGGCCCGGCGGCGTCTCATGAGGGACTTCAAGAGGTAAACCGGCCGGGAGCGCTGGGGCCGGGGGACTGGCCGCCGGGCCCAGGGCGGGTGCTGGGGGAGGCTGGGGGCCCGGCGGAGCCGAGGCCGGTGTCGGATGGCGGGGCCCGGTGTGTTTCTCTGAAGGTTGCAGGAGGATCCCCCAGCGGGAGTCAGCGGGGCTCCGTCTGAGAACAACATAATGGTTTGGAACGCGGTCATTTTTGGGTGAGTCTGCGTTCCGGGCGGTGGCATGAGATGGGGGCGCCCGCTGGGCTGGGGCTGCCCTCCGCCGGAGGCCGAGGGGGAAGGGGACGGGGTTGGGTTTGGCTGGGCCTAGGCGCCTTCCCGGAGCCTGTGCCTCGATTAGCTCTGTTCCCGCTGCCAGGGGAACCGTTTGGGGTTCTGAGGGGGGCGGGGCGGGGACTGGTGGCGGTTTGGCGCGGCGGCCTCCCGGCTTTCTGAGCCCCAAACCTGGATCTCTGGTGACTTTGCCACCCAGGAAACAGTGGTTTGCCGGTGATGGAGTTGGCAGAGCTGGGAATAGGCACCTCCTGAAGTGAACCAGAGGGAAGGGAGCTCCTTAATAAATGGACACTGACTTCTTGTTCTTTTCTGTGTTGCAGGCCTGAAGGGACCCCTTTTGAGGATGGTAAGAGAGTTTCTTTGCACACTTTTCAGGAGGCTGATCGTCAGGGGGAAGGGTTTCCACTCATCCTGGAAGTTTCTCCTTAGGAACCTGCTTTTGCTTTTCCCTAGCTCCTGCCTGCTAAAGGCTTGAGTGGAGTCAGTCTGGCAGGTTGTTCTGGCTATTGTCCACTTCACTGGAGCTGCACCTTTTCTCATACTTGCATGCTTAAAAAAAAAGAAGAAATCTAGGCAGGGAGCATGGTAACACTTTAAGGATTTTTGAGGTCTGGGCTATGATCCTGCTAAGCTCAGCGCCCCATCCCAAAACTTAAGTATCAGTCCAGTCACTTGCTGGTAGCCTCAGAAGCCCAAGGGCAGGAACTGTGTTCAGCAGATGCTTACTATGTGTTTGTTGGACAATGAATGGCAGCAAGAATCCTTTGCACACAGCTCTCTGGGTTCTACAACCTGGCACTCTAAGATGGTATTTAATCACACTTTAACAGCCAGTTTGAGTGTAATAATGTTTTTTTTAAAATAAACTTTCAGCACGTGACTTTATGGTCAGTCATCTCAAAGCTGCTTCACAATTGAGGTTAGCTTTAATGTGCTGTCTTCAGTCTCCAACCTACTGGAAGGTACTGCATGTATCTGTGGGCACGTGGCTTTCAATGGATTTAGGTTTGACTTTTTAAAACACATGTTAATTGCTTTTCAAGATTTTTAAGAACTTTCTGTTTGAGATAATTATAGATACCTGAATAGTTGTGGTAAATGATGGGAGGCCCTAAATACCCTTCACCTTCCCTCCCGCCCTTTGCTAACACTGGTGAGGTGGTGATGCTATATCACAAGCAGGAAACTGACATCCCTATAGCTTTAAGTGCACTCAGTTTTGTGTGTGTATAGTTGTATTTTGAAACTTTAATGCAATTTAAAAGATGATTAAAAGTATTTGAACTCCATTGACTACATTAAAATGTCTTAATATTTGAGCTATTGAAAAAAACAAAGGCTCTTAGTGACTTTGCTTGCATAGCATTAGCTATGTCTGTCTGTATGCACACACATGCGCATCAACATCAGTGTTTGAAGGTGGAAACACAAACATTTCTATAGTCTGCTAAGTACATATTTAGGCTGCTGCCTTGGAGTGCTTTTGATGCTACCAGTCTTCAAGATTTGAGGTGGGTCAGTATCAACCAATTCTATAATTTGTCTCAAATACTCAGATTTCCCTACAAGACTGTAGACAGTCATCTGAATACTTTTAGCTTCATTTGTACCTTCATCCCCTGGGTAAATATCATCAGTGCTCTTCAGTGCTGTAATAAAAAGAAATGACAGCAGTAGAGAGGGATTCTAAAGTCACACTACTTTGGTGCAGTAAATTGTTTCAACTGAGCCATAGCAAGAGGTTGCCAGACTTAATTTTCCTCTACTACAAGGTGTTGCTAGTTCTTCATTCCTAAGCTTTATGTGAAGATTTACTGGCTGTTTGCTTATCTCTAGCAAGCTTTGTTTTTATTGGCTTCTTTTTTCCTCCAAATTTTATTCAGACTGCTTTATGCTGGGCACAGCTTTATTAATAGTACATCACTTTGCTGGGGGTTGGCCACTTAAATATTTCAAGGGTGCTTTTCTTGTTTTAAGTGGTATGAATTGAAAAGGTACTTATGGAATCCATTATCTACCTGGACCTTCCCCCTTGACATTACTGGCTCTATTTTTGATGTGTGGAGCGCTAGCCTGCATTACTGAAAGGAATTACTCAGGCTGAATGACAGCACTCTTTCAGATTCATTCCATGCAGTGGCCTGCTGAACATGGATACAAGCTCGGGTGTCTAGCACACTGACCGAGGCTATAAGAAATATTTTTGACTGTTTAAAAATACCTCTTCTTTATACTTGGGGAATTTACTGGAAAACACTGTGGACAGGTGGCATCATTGATTTTGCTGTTTCCAGTGTTTTATATAAAACAACACTCTGCAAACTACTTTTGCTGCTTTCTTGTAAGGAAGTAGAAGTTTCTCAAACAGCCAGGCCCTAGCTAAATAGATGAAATCTTAAGAAAAGGAACTCTTAAGGTATTTTGATTTAACTTCACACACATGAAATAAGAGGAATATGTTCCCAAGAGCTTACAGTACCAAGCAAAACATTCTAGGCAGGGGGGCCGTGCTTCCTCATCAAACTATCTTGAGATGTTGCTGAATCAAAGGCTGTGGCATAAAGTATTATGCACATCATCTAAAAATTGTTAATAGATATAGTAAGATGCTAGCATTTACTTTTCATAATGTATTGTTAAGAATTTGGGTATAAGTTTTTTTTAAAAAAACAAATCACTTAAAAGTTGTGAAGGATGTAATTAAGGTAAATACTCTGATAAGGAGTATATGGGTACTATGTTAAAAATCAGAATTTACAGTGTAAAAAAAGCCCATGTACTGCTTTTTCCTCAGGGGTCATGAACTGGTGGACAATTTGCAGAAAACACCTGCAGAGTTGTTTTCTTTGGCTAACCTATTTTCAAATATTTGAATTTTGGGATTTGAATTAGCAGAGCACATACTCATTTAACCGTATCTTGCACACAGCAGCCATTTAACACATTTACATACATTTCCTGGTCCCTAGATAAATTCTAGATAAATTTTTTCCTTGCATTCTTTTGGCTACACTTCAAGAAGATAAAATCAGTACAGATTGTTACAACAAGGATGGTGAGACTTAATAAGTTTTCAGTTATTTTAAAGCTTAACCTCTTAACTATTCACAGGATAAGCTTTAGTCTCAATTGCATAATCTAGGAATTTAAATTTCTTAACATTGGTTTTGGATCTCAGAAATTACATTGAGGATTGCACTAAAGAGGTTCTGATTGTTGAAAAGTATAAAATGTTCTCTTTTTAATATGTGCTTTGAATAATATTTGGGTAAGTCTGAATTTACATTCAAATAGACATAAGCAGGTTGTTTCACTTCAGATGTTAAATGAACTTTTAAAAGACTAGGGTGACTTATTTTGGTAACCACCTTGTTGAACTTCTGGGCAGTTATTAGGCAGAAAGCTCAAGTCAAAAGTTTTGTGAATCACCAACTTAAGTCCTCAGTTTGCTTTTACTTGTGAGTGTTGATGTAGGTCAGAAAGTAGTATTTTTATTTGAATTAACTTATATTTCTAACTAATAGTAAAGTTTGGATTTTTGGTTTTTTCCTCAATCTAGAGATGTGCAATTTCTAGTTATTAGACTAAAGTAATTGCTTGTATTTATACTTTGGCACTGTGCTTATTTCCCTCATTTAAATTTCACAACAACGTGTTGGGTGTCCCATTTTACAGATGAGGAACTTGAGGTTTAGTCACGTTGAGTGACTTCCCTAAGGTTTCATAACTTACTGCTTCACAACAATAACAAAGCAAGGATTTGAGTCAGGTCTGACAGCAGAGCTCTGCCCACTGCTTCCACCACCGATGCCTGCCTTGGGTGTTGCTCTGCCACCTTGAAATCTCCTGTTTAATGATGGTTTTAGAGTACTTGAGGTCTCCATGTGCTGTTCAGTGTGCCAGGTTTTAGAGCAGTTCCTTGTAGCAGATTTCAACATTGAGCCAAATGTGGTTACATAAAGAAACTCTAAAGTTTTGAGCTAACACTCATTCCCACTTTTTCTTGCATATTATACTATCTGTAGTACTGAAAAAGGAAAAACCACGTTCTCTTCCTCAAAAAGAGGATTTATGACCAGGGGGAGTAAAGGTGAAACATTTCTGATGAACTATATGTAACATGCATACTTCCAAAATATTTTACTTTGTGTCCTTAGTCAGAATATGTATTATCTTCAGACCTGACTTGGAAGTCATTTAGGGAGCAGAATAGTTGAGGGACTATAATATGTCTCCAGATATTGCATTTTTTATTATTCTGAAACTTGGGATAACTGATTCAGGTAACTGATCATGTCAAGAGGAACTTCGTTAGTGAATTGTTTCCTGTGAGCCTTCTAATAGCACCCAAATTTTTGGTTTGGTATTGTTACATCTAGCAGCATAATGTGATGCTAAACCTATTAATGGATGCAAGTAGGAAATAAACTACTCTCTGAAGGAACCAGTAACAATTATACTCTCTGTGAAATGTGGTCTATTGTCTTAGAGTAATAATAGCCTAAACAAACATTGTTACAAAGATAAATTTGCTGGAAACATGAATGCAATCTCATATTATTTTAAAATTATATTTCTGCCCTTAATTCCCTCCATTAGTGTGAATAATTGAGTGGATTTTATAGTGAAGTACTGTGTGAGTCACGCTCAGAGGGACTGTCAAGCTTTTTTGGCTTGCATTCAATTATGTTTTCATTATAGAGTCGCTGTTACATGAAAAGGAATCAGTGGGCATTTTTATGGGTGTTGCATTCTTTTTTTAAAAAAAAATAATTTGACTATTGATTTGTATAAACTTTTGAACCTTTGTGCTCTCATTCTTTCTGGCACATTTAAAAGTTTAAGGTGGCCACTGATCAAGAGAGACCTTTAAGGTCTTCCAGTCTTAAAGGAAAAAGGCCACATTTTGGCCCTTGTAATTTGGCTTCTTGTCATTTTAACGCTGTTTTCACACTGCACAGTGGCTAAGTTATCTTGCAGGCAGGAATTTTGAGTTTAAGATGACTGTATTTAAGTTGGAGGAAGAGTAATGGCAAACCAAAAACCACACCACCTTTGGCCAGTGGTTCCTTGTGTCCATCCATCTCTAAAACAGTTGCTGGAGATGTATCTTTTCCCTGGTCTCTTGCCTCTCTACCCTGTGTCTTTGCATTATTCCCTATAATGCTCAAAGAAGAAAAAGTCACATAGCATTAAATGCCAAATACTGCTGAACAAAGCAATAAATATGCTTTCTTAAATTTTTATTTTCTAACCACAGGAACATTTAAGCTTACAATAGAATTCACTGAGGAATATCCGAATAAACCACCTACGGTTAGATTTGTCTCTAAGATGTTTCATCCAAATGGCAAGTATCACTTTTAATACATAACCTATATATTGTCTATTATGGAGGTAGTCCATATTTCCTATTTGTGCCTGTGTTTGTGTTTAGGCATTTTTGCTATTTCCTGAAAACTGAACTTGCTCATGGTGGGCTATGGCAGTCTTCATCTGTAGTCCTAGAAGTTAAGCAGTGAAGGGACTTTGCCTTTGTCTGGAGTTTTAAGAAACTTCTGGCTTGATGTTTATCATTTACTCTTGAGGTTTCCTTTTAATGTTAGGCCAGATTGGGGTAGTCTTATTTTCACTAGAATTTAGGACAGGAATATTCAGCTTTGGATGGATATCAGAATTACCATGGAACATTTTAAAAATGTAGATGCCCTGGCTTCGTTCCAGCCCTTCAGAATATAAGATTCTGTTTGCGATCTGGGGAGATAGACACAGTATGTTGGAAAAGCACCACAAATGATTTGCTTTTTTCCTAATAGTAAGCCTAGAACAGCTTGCCTTTCATTCGGGTTAATAAAGTATGTTCCAGAGTATCAGGTATTTTTATCTTCATGCCAAACTGTAACCTTGTGAACTCTAAGCTATCTTATTTCAGATAGGAGATACAGTTTACAGATTGGGTAGAATGAATTCCCCACAAGTGTATGGGTGGCTAGGGAGCCTGTCAGAAAATGTGTATGATTTCCTGCATAAGAGGGCAGTCTTTTGGGAGAACAAGCACTAAGTACCTTCTAGTTTTATACTGATTACATTTGACATCTCAGATCATCCTGGTTATTTCACTAGTAGTGATTATGACTCATCTTTTTAGAAACTTAACTGAGAAGCAGTTTTGGAATCTTCCAAAACCTGCAAAGCAAAGTGTTCTTCACTATATTTGTCTTGATTATACTGCTAAAACCTTAGTGGTTTTGATGTGTTTAACCTGTCTCCTTCTATGCTCCTAGTCTATGCAGATGGTAGTATATGTCTGGACATACTTCAGAACCGCTGGAGTCCAACTTACGATGTGTCTTCCATTTTAACATCCATACAGGTGAATTTCCCCTAGTGTGACTAACAAACTTTGATATGTTTACATTAGCAATTAAATTGTTTTTTGAGAGTCTTAACTTTAAGCTCTTAAAGGTAAAATGTAGGTCATTAAGATCCAAGTCACCAGGAAATATGTTAGCTACTAACAGATTAATGTACCTCTAGCTCAGAATGCTAAGAGGAACTTAAGCTGTTTGTTACTTAGGATACTTGAGTTTCACTATCTTATAAAATATGTTTGCTTTGAATATGTGTACTTTTTTTGCATTGAGGAACTGACTTTCTAAAAATTGTTTCTGTAGTCTCTATTGGATGAACCCAACCCCAATAGTCCAGCAAATAGCCAGGCTGCTCAGCTGTACCAGGAGAACAAGCGGGAATATGAAAAACGTGTTTCTGCAATAGTGGAACAGAGCTGGCGTGATTGTTGACCCGCGTGAAGCAAAAGAAGCTGGTCATATGAAAAATATATATTGATGTGTTTGTCATCTTCCTATTCCTCAGTGTCATTATTTACTTTATTAAATGCAAAATAGCTGTTGTGCTGTTTCCATCTTCCCTTGCCAAGGTTTTCCTACCCTTCTACCCACTCCTCGAACATCAGAAAACACCCTCTGAAATCAAATGTACTGTACCTGGGTTACGTGCAAACATTGCTAATGCTTAACTATTCCTTTTCTGTTGTGCCTCATCTGCAGTTTTAGGACAGTATTGTGTTACTGTACTTTACAATAAGCTTTTAAAATGAATTGTTATGCAAGTGGTGCTTATGCATAGGTTGATGACCAGGATGTTATTTTTAACAAAATGATGGCTGAAGTGTTTCATCCTGGCTGGTCCTTCACTTGTGTTGGATCTCGAAGTGAATGCTGTTTGGCATACAGCCTATAGAAAACAGGGAAACAAATCCATACAACCGTCCATTTTGAAAGCAATGGAAGCTAAAATTGCTGTGATGCTCAGATCTGACCAATATGAACTACAAGACGGTTTTTACTGGTAGGAAGGAGAATGTTAAAGGACTCCCAAAGGACAGTGCAGCAGTTGTAGTAACTGACACACCATCTCCTTGCAAGATATTCACTGGACACACCCATGCTAAGTTTCAAATACTGAAGTCTTCTGGATTTTTTACTTTTTAAAGAGGTGTGGGGATGTGGGGTAGAAACAATCATTAGTTTTTAAGCTAGTGAAGCTTGGAGATCTTTTCATCTTTTTAAGGAGCAGTGCTACCTTAGAAAAATGTATAGCCCCCCATCTTTTTTTAAACTTTTAATTCAAAGAAGGGAGCATATCTGGCAAAATACCAATATTTTCCACTCAAAGCCTGAGTTATGCTGCATGTTTCAGTTTCTTCTTCCCTTTCAGTATTATAAGAACCTTAAAGTCAATGTTTGTAATCTTTCTTTGGGTATTTATACTTTTAGATAGACAGTACCTTTAAATGCCAGTGTGGGACAGGCTTGTAAATGTTTTGTCTAATGTTCCATTGTCATCTTGTGCATTTATCACTATTCTAAATCTAACTTTGCACAGGTAACCCATGTAAAAAATGTACATTTTTCAAAACTTGTAAATAAAAATAACCTTAAAATTTTGTAGTCAAGGTATAATTATATTTTAGCCCAGTGTGTGAACCTTTAGTATTAACTCATTAGAATCTCATGTCTGCACATTTTTCCCCCTTAAATATACTAAAGCAAAAATACAGATTCTGGGAAAGAGGAGTAGAGATTGTTGGAAAGGATTTTTTCTTTTCAGTCACAAACATTAATGCCTTAAAAAAATTAACAATATAGAACTATTAAAGTTACTTCAGTATGTATCAAAGAAACTGGAAAGGGGGAAGAATAAAACCTATGTATTTGCCAGCACCCTCAGAGTACCAAGCTCTAAGTTGCTGATCCTGACATTCCACCTCTAAAAAGCCCTGGGGGGGCTCCCTGGTAGCACAAGGGGATAAGACGCAATCTATGAAGCAATCTGCAGCCACTGCAGCACGAGTTCGAACTCCAGCTGGGGAGCTATACACATGGCACAGCAGACCTCTCCTGACTCATCCGCTGCTCCCCTCAGCAGTGTATTTTGGTCAGTCTGCCTGTTCTGCTCCCCTCTATCTCTGGTGAATCCTCTCACCGCCCGCACCTCTGGCCTGTACCCCAGTTCTTGTATGCATAAATAAATACCTGAAAAAAAAAAAGCCCTAGAAGCAAACAATAGTACCAAACTATTACTAGGTCTTTTAAGTTCCATGTAAAGTTTGGGAATGCAGGTAACCGCAATCTCATTTAAACAGTTCTCTCTTTTGAGCAACGACACATCTCATTTTAAAGAGACAAGTGACCTTGTGGAAACTCACCTCTACACCTGTTTGGAGGGTGCTAAATGAAATTAAACCCTCTGGAAGTACATGCCCCACTTGTCCTTTAAGACGTGGTGCTTAAAGGACCCTCAGAGTGGGGGAGTTCATTCTGCATTGACCACATGAATTGGTTGGTTTCACCTAGGTGCAATATTGCTAAATGTGCTTAGCATTTTCCTTCAAGTCCACTTCTGCTTCAAAGTGGAATCAAATTCACTTGGTTTTTATTTGCTGTATTAGTTTTATATTATCTTTTTCATCCTACTATAACTGGGTACCTTAAATATTGACACTGTTCATACTTGAAAGAATTTAAGCTGAGACTGGGAATGTGCAGATTTTTAATTTTTTTTTGCATCCCTCCTAGGAAACACCATTCCCAATCTTTCATGGAATAATTCTTTTAAAATCTTAAAACAGTCAACAAACTGACTTCCCAAAGAATGCCCTTGGTTAAAGGCACCACACACTATTCATTCAAAAGTTTAATGCTAACTTGCTTTTTCACACTTTTTTAAATGCCACAGACTACCTGTGTAAGATAAGCATAACAATGCTCATTGTAAAGTTAATTAAAATAGATTTGCAAGATCTCTTTTCAAATGGCAGTCAGGTTTGCACTTAAATCTTCAAGTCTGCACCTACTGATATGGGGAAGTGGGTATGATGAAGAGCCAAAGTTGTAATTAGATTCCTTTATTTAGGACTCATCTCCAGCTTCAGGGGTTACTCATAGCAAAGTGAATGCATTGTATACTACTAAAAAAAGATTCCCAACAGAATGCATGAAATTTCCATTCATTTTGCAAAGGGGAGGAAAAAAGTCTAAAAAAACCTGTGAGACCCAGTGCTAGATATAACTGAAAGCAGTTAGCTCCTTAGTGTAACATTTAAGAAATTCAAATCAAACTTGAAACTGTTCATGTAAATGTGAAGGCTTCTAGCAAAGTTACTGGGTAAAAATACTGCTATCTCAAAAAAAGGGAAAATACAGGAACTAACAAAATACAGAACCTGAAGGTTGTCAGCAATTCATTCTTATGAAACTCATTTCTCAATGTATTTTTAAGCAGAGTTAGGTCACTTCACTCGAATTCCAGATTAATACCAAAGCTGATCTAAGGAAGTTAGGAACTCTGGACCCCCAAATCCAGGAACCACATTTGTATGTACTGGTTCCAATAATTTTGGAGCCTTGACTATAACATTTATATTCCGTTCTGCTGAACTTTTCTAGACAAACCAGACATATGTAACATTTCTCTATACCCCTGTCCCCCAAATTTATTTTGGGAAGAGGGAAGGAATGTAGAGAGAAATGATTTTTCACACTCCTTAATCATCAAAGCCACCCTTGGGAGAATTGAAGGCTGGCTTTTCTAACTCACTAATTGAACCATTAACTTCTCAGGGTTGGCATGACCCTTGCAGGTTAAAAAAAAAAACAAAAGCAAAAACAACTGCAAACATTTTAGTTTAATCCCTTTGCTATTATGAAAACTGTTAGTGCCACACAAAATGCACACACGTCTTCCTACCAACATTCACACACTGTAAGAAGTTAGTGCAAAGCAAGTATCACACACTGTATTCATCACTGTAGGTGACTAAAAGAGATTTGGGCATAAAAGTTAACAATCCCTTTATATATTTTTTTAAAATAATGATTTACCTATAATGGACAGCTCCTTAATGCTAAGTATAAAAAAGGGAAAGGAAATTAGTTTGTTGTGGGCCAATTACATGTCAAGCATGGTGCTAAATGTTTTAAGACACTATAGACAACCTAATCATCCCGAACATCTTTTCACTGGAGATGTTTGTCAATATTAATATTCACCTCCGTTAAATCTCTTGGTATATTTAAGGTACAAACCATAATCATGTCAAAACAAACAGCCTGAGATTTGGTTGTAGCCAGTATGTTGGTCTATAGAAAAAGTGTGATGGCTGACTGATTAGGTGTTCCTGTCTGCTAAATTATAATGCGCATCCATCCACATGTGTTCTGGTGTTGAATTATTCTGTGCAAACACCACCTCCCTTCTCCAAAGACTCAGTGTCGCTACATGGTTGCTGCCCACAAATAAGTACACCACCATCTTGATCAACTTTGGCTCCTTTTTATTCAGGAAGCATACACTAACTCTTTTTATACATTTTTTTTTACATTCCAGAAATAAGCGAAAATAGCGGTTTTAAATATGTTACAAAGTTGGCTTTTGGGACTTAATAAGCTTTTTGAGAGAGGGACCAGCCAACCGACCTTTTCATCAAAGCACCAATGTACCTTCAGTCTTTTACCAAGCTCTACCACAGCTGTGGCTGCCCTGGATGTGCTGTACATCCAAATCAAGTGAAAGCTATAACGGAGAGTTGCTGTGAGTCTCTCTGCAAGGCACCAAGAACAAACAGCTCCAGCTTCCTTTCTTCAGATTGAAACAAATTTTTGAAACTTTTCAACTGCTCTCTCAAGTAGTGCTCTCTCAGCATGAAGACTAGAATTTGTTAAAATCCGTATATCACAAGATACAATAAATCACTTCCAATATTCTGGAAACCACATGAGAGAAGTTATAAATAAATGAACACTAAAATTACTTTAAGAAAGTTTTACATCAGTTAGTTGGTAAGGACATTTACACGTACAGCACAATTTACTTTTAAACATTCTATAACTGGCTTCACACAGAGATGGAAAATAGATAATACAAAATGATTTGACATTTTCAGTAAATCTGGAATTAAGACTAATTTGATGGTAATTGTTATCAATTTTACATGTTGCAGATTGCTGTGCTATGCCCTTTAAAATGAGAATTTTTCTTGGGGTGATATTCCATTGGATATGTGTTCTTGCTTTGTACAAACTACTAAAATCGAAGGGACACAGCAATATCAAAGACACAAACAGTAACTGCACGATATCATCTGATTAAGCTAATACAAGTGGACAGAATTCTTCAGGTTCCAATATCTAATAAAGCACTATATGAAATGAACAAGGTAAAACATCTTAAGAATGAATATACTCTGTACCCAGAACATGTAGCATTTTTTTAAATTCACAAATCTGCCTAATTAGGCACCTACAAAATAAATTAGTACAATCTCAATTTGCTTGAGGCATCACAAGTTCGTAATGCCCCACTTGGCCTTCCTGCTTGAGCTGGTCTAGT